TTTAAATGTGTTGTAAAGAAATCTGTTCATGAAGACAGCAGAAGCCCCTGATTTATATGAATGACTCAGCCTGACATGTTCACTGCTGCGAAATATTGTAAATGTGTCCGAAAATAAAACAGATTGTTGTTGTTTTCTACCCAGACATTTCAGAAGAGCTGATCTGAGAGCAGTCATCACAACACCGTGATAAGGTTATCAGAAATGTATGCTGACCCTGCCTAGTCACGGTCGTCATTTTCTCTGCTTTTAAATAAATACGACACAAAATACACTTCATTTACCAAAAACAGTTTACAAAAAACTGCAGAAAATGTAGATTAGCTGTGTGTGAATGTGTGAATGCTGAAACTGAGTGAAAGCAGCAGAAGATACAGCGCTGAGCATATATGAGTTCCCCTCACACATCTCTCTATTAAATCCACATGTTCAACAGGAAGCTCTGCAGTATTATATGTGTGCAGATACAGCAGATGAGTCAGTGCTGAAGCCAAATCTGGAGCTGATCTAACTCAATAACTCACGATAACCCTCCAAACACTAGCACAGACACATTTATATGTCCGAGAAAAACATTAAATACTAAATAAAATATTAAATAAAGGTTTGTAAATATTTTTGCAATATTTTGCTTGAATTATATGTGTTATCTTTCAATTTCTGAATATGTTCTGTGACTAAAATATTACTGTAATAAATATACAACTGTTTAATATATCTGTTTTGTTTAAATGCACCAAAATACACTGCCTATAATCACTGAGAAATGGAGGAAACACTCCACTGTATGTGTGTGTTTATATGTTTATATATATATATATATATGTGTGTGTGTGTGTGTTTGTTTCTGTGTGTATGTTTACATGTGTGTGCGCGTGTGTATGTATATATGCGTGTGTTTACGTACAGCATTCAGTCCACACAGCTGATAGCAGCTCATGACGGTGATGACGGTGATCAGCTGCCAGCGGAGTGTGTGTGTGCGGAAGAGCTCCAGCACTGACGCCGTCTGCTGTGTGTTCTGTGCTCGACTCTCAGCATGAACCTCCTCTAGTTCAGCGCTCACGTCTGTGCGGCCCAGAAACGCCTGGAACGCTGAGTCACACACACACACACACACACACACAAACATAAATATTAACACACACACATACACAGAAATACACACAGATGTAAACACACACACACACACACATACACACACACACACACACACACACACACACACACACACTAAGACAGATGCTGAAACTGCAGTGTGTTTCCACCTTTCTCTGCTCCGGCCTCGTCTCGTCGCTCCATCAGCAGGAATCTGGGGCTCTCGGGCAGAAAGGGCAGAACGCAGAGCTGCAGCAGCGCAGGAACCGCCAGGAACGCAAACAGGAAGTTCCACCTGTTCTCCTGCAGAAACACAGCAGAGCAGGCCTTCACACAGCCGCTGCAGGAGGACTTACCCAACTATGATCATTCAGATCTTTGCGAATAAAACCTGTAGCAGCATTTCTTTCTATTGTTTTGCTGTAAACACACACACACACACACACACACACACACACACATCTTAATTGATTATAATTACTCTGACATCATCAGCTACTGATCTCTGTAGTTTATGAACAGGAAGCACAGAGAGAGGAGTAGAGTTTCCCTTTATAAAGCCTGCTGCTGGAGAACATTTCAAAATGAGACCAGTTGTCTGAATCTGCATCTAATCTGCATCTTTAACTAC